GGAAATGAAGGGCTGAACCAGAGGAAAGCTGCACAGATACAACGTTGCAGTGAAAGAAATTGATTATGAGTTTGAGCCCGTGTTTGGTGTAATAAAAGTTGACTGAAGAGTCCCTTGGACAGTGTTTATTAATGAGGAGTAGCTATGCGTGAGGATCGATAGGGAAGATCTATTTATTTCGGGGTACCGAGAAATGACTTTGGGATTTCGGGATATATTGTAAATACTAGATTAGATATATATATATAATGTAGTTTATCAGTGGATCGGCTATATCAATAGATTGACCATTTTTATCTTGAATTATTATTCTATATTTAATATACGTTTTCTTTATAATTAATTATGAAAATTTATTTTAAAGAAGTATATATAATTTTAATTATTCAAACTATTGAATTAAATAAAAAATTATTAATTCGAAAGGTAGTTTAGTTTTATTATATATTTTGAATTATATTAGATAATAGAATTTGAGGTAAATCTAATATAGTTGAGAATCAATCAAAAAGTTATGATTTGATTAAATTAAAAGAGAAAGTATTTGTTTAATATATTCTTGATATAGATTTAAAAGGGTTTCTATTTAAATTTAAAAATATAAAAGATATAGTGAATTATATTTTCGAATTAAAGAGTATAAAATATGTTGGGAAGCTTTAAGTATATTAATTTGTAAAATATCGAATCGAATTAAAGATATATTTTAATTATGTTTAGAATTTTTTAAAGAGCTTTTTGTAAGGATTTCAAGCTTATTAAAGAGTGATTTCGATTAGTTGTAAATATACAAGTGAAATATAATATTTTGAATGGAGATTTCTATAATTTCGATAAAACAGACTTTATAATGAGAATTATATATATAGTAATAATTATTATTAATATTAAGAGATGTGGTAGAAGTAAATCTATATAATTAGATAATCAAGAATGGGTTATAGTAATAATATATGGAAATGGAAAGGGCGAAATTATTCTTTTATTTTTAATAGTTCAGGGATAGGTCTATCTCTTTAATTGATATATTGAAATCGATTTTCCTATAAAATAAATTATTAAACCTATATTTAATGGATGAATAAACAATAAAACGAGTTTAGAATAATTGAAACATTTTGATAAGTATATTAAGAATCAAAGAAAGGATAAATATCAAATGTTGATGCTGAATAGGTATAAAAGTTATGAATTAATAGCTTTTCAAGTATATTATAAAGAGAATAATATTATATATTTATATTTATTATTATATTCAAATTAACTTTATTTAATTTAATTATTTAATTTAATTATTTAATATTGATTATTTTAGTAATTTAAAATATTTATATAGTAGTTAAATTAATGAATTTATTAAGGTATATATTAATTATATTTTAAAGATTAAATTCTTTATAGTTTTTAAAGCTATATATAAGAAATTAATTATCTTTCAGAATATGAAATCAAGATTTTAAAAAATAGATTTAATCTTATTCAATCCTGAAGCTATACTCTCGAAATTAGATATTCGAATTCATATATTTACCCCCCCCTCTTTCAATTTAAATCAATAAATCTTTTAAACCCTTTACAACCCAATTAAAGCTTTTTCTCAATTAATATTAATTAAATCTTAAATAACTTATTATTAAATAAGCTCCTTTATACTTATATTTGAGATTATACTAACTCTAACTAAAAGTATAAAAAGATTAATTCATAAAAATATACTTTTAAATATAAAGAATTATATACTTTAAATAGTAAATAAAGTATTAAATAAGTATTGATATATATAAAAAACTCAATTATATTAAGGAGAAATACTTATTGAATAAAAAGCTTTTGATATATTATCTTAATAAAAGATTGATATTTAGATTCAATATAATAAGTATTAAAAAGAAGGGAATTCTAATAAGGAAGTATTTTCTAATTAATATTGTAGTAAATATAAAAAGACAGGTTATAATATAAGAATCTATTAAAATAATATAATAGATTTTAAATTATTAAATTATTAATAGTTTTAATTAATTGATTTAATTATTGTTGAATAATATAGCTTTGAAGTAATAATTCAAGATAAAAATGGTTGATCTATTGATATAACCGACCCACTGATAAACTACGTTATATAGAATGTAGACTTTAGAATAGAAATGTTATCTAATCTGATCTGATCTGATCCGATTTGATCTGATTTGATCTGATTTAATGATGTCAAGCAAAGTAACTACCTAGGTAATGAATCACATTTGTCTAGGCCTAATCTGTATCACAATAATCAATAATCATTTATTAATTATGAAATTCTGCTTGCTGATGTAAAGCCAGACACAAAGGTGGTCCAGATCCCTCAAGGCTTTGGTGATCACGAAATTTTGGCGGGGAACGGGGAACATTGTTTGAAATCAATAGTAATAGTAATAGTAGTTAATAGTAATAACTAATAATAATAAGTTAACGAATCTTCGAGTCTTTTTACATACAACCGAGTAAATAAATGAATACTTATTAACACCACAACTTCTTTCCTACCTTCTTCTCTCCTATTCACAAATTATCATATTACAACCTCTGCGAGTAGAGTTATAGATTCAGAGATCGAAGACCGTCAAACTCACAGTCGCATACCTACAAATACTTTGGGATAAAAAACAAAACAAAAAGAGGGGCACTTTATTGCAAATCGACAAGGTGTTTTCTTCAACTCTTAAACGTACTTTGAGGGCAAGCGGTTCGGGTGTTTCAATTGCGGCTGCTGCTTGTTTTCAACAGAAGAACTCGGTCAAGAGTAATACTGCGGCGGGTTTACTTGGAAGAAATATAGAGAGAAAGATGCATAGTAAGGTTGTTAGTGAGTATTTCCCTTCTCTTTTGCTGTGGCGGGGAAGAGTTTGGAATGGGACGGGAGTGGGATGGGATGGGATGGGAGTGGGATGGGGAATACAAGAGGATGTGGATTTAGAAGATGGTATCTACGAACGTATACTAACTTTATGAAATAGTCATTGGCTCCGGCCCTGCGGCTCACACTGCTGCCGTTTACCTTGCGCGTGCGGAATTGAAACGTAAGTCCATGTTCTGAGATTGGAAATCGAGAATTCATGAAGGGCCATTAGGCTGACATTCGGTATATAGCTGTTCTCTATGAAGGTTTCCTTGCCAATGGAATTGCTGCCGGTGGCCAATTGACTACCACTACCGATGTTGAGAACTTCCCTGGTTTCCCCAAGGGAATTGGCGGACAAGAACTTATGGTAAGAAGATTGACACTTTTTGCATATATGAGGTAGAACTTCAACTAATGAATCTGTGTAAAGGATAACATGCGCGCACAATCCGAACGATTCGGCACCGAAATCATCACTGAAACCGTCGCCAAAGTAGATCTCTCCAAACGTCCCTTCAAATACTGGACCGAATGGGACGACAAAACAGAACACACAGCCGATTCCATCATCATTGCTACTGGTGCCTCGGCTCGCAGACTCGGTCTTCCAGGAGAGGAGAAATACTGGCAAAATGGTATTTCCGCCTGCGCAGTCTGCGATGGAGCCGTTCCAATTTTCAGAAACAAGCCTTTGGTAGTTATTGGTGGTGGAGATAGTGCTGCGGAAGAGGCTATGTTCCTCACCAAATACGGATCCCACGTTACTGTTTTGGTCCGAAAAGATCATCTACGTGCGTCGAAAACGATGGCTAAGAGATTGCTTGCCAATAAGAAAGTTACTGTTAGATTCAACACTGTGGGAGGCGAAATCACTGGTGATGACAAAGGATTGATGACCCACATGGTTTTCAAAAACGTCACTACTGGCGAGGAAGAAAAGGTAGAGGCAAATGGATTATTCTATGCTGTAGGACATGATCCAGCTACCGCATTGTTCAAGGAACAAATTGAGACGGATTCCGAGGGATATATTGTCACCAAGCCCGGAACCAGTTATACCAACATCGAGGGTGTTTTCGCTGCTGGTGATGTTCAGGATAAGAGATACCGACAGGCTATTACTAGTGCAGGCATGTCATCTATCTATTTTTGGTAGACTTTGTAAGACAAAAACTAATTATATCGATAGGATCCGGATGTATAGCAGCTCTCGAGGCCGAGAAGTTCCTTGCTGAGCAAGAGGATGCTGAAAATGATTTAGAAAAGGCAAATGCCGAAAAGGGTAACAATGTTGTTGTTCCTGAGTATAGATCCAACCCTTTGCTTTAGATTTTTCTGTCATTGGCGAGTTCAATTTTTTTGGCATGGCATTATAGATAGAAGTCCTTGTATGAATATCCCCCGAGTTCAATTTTGTTAGAAAGAATAAAGAAGGAAATATATTGAAACTACCGTTTATTTTCCTTCATGTTGCTTGTGTGTGTTTTTCTGAATCCTTTTCCTTTCAGCTTTTCTTTTCCAGTTATTTTCATTGTTTTGAAAAGGCCACCTTGAAGACCGATCCGATCCACATCTTCCTATACCCTTTCCTCAAAGTCCTCCCAACAAATTGTCAAGACCTAGTTGGTCGGTCGCAAATACGGTGGCTTTCGAAAAATTTCGAGCTTCTAGATTCGTGGCCATGAAAGGATGTTTTATACCTATACCTACCCAGGTAGTAGATGCAGGCAGTGCAACCGAGTTGTAGACCTGAATTTGCTATCTGGTAGATTATCAATAGGACACGAGTGAAGTAGTTAGCCGATCAAATGTACTGAAACCAACATGTGTATATGGTATAACCACTTAGGGGACCGGGAGTTGGCAGAGATATGATGGACTGGATGGGGAGAAAAATGTATTTAAGGGGAGGAGGGAAGGGGGTAGGTTTGTGGTGATTTTGATTTTGATTTTGAATTGATTTGCTATTCTTCCTCTGAATTTTTTGAAATTTTCAGGCTTATGGAAGAGATTTGATTTGATCTTCAGGTTTGTTCTTTTTTTGGGGATTTCGGATTTGGTATTTGAATTGGATTGAATTATTACAAGAGCGAGCAAGCGCATGCAAAGAGAAAGAAATATGTCACCTACATTCGCCCTTCCATCCACATCCGCATCCGCGCTGCAAATCCCAGTCATCGTTATTGATACCTGTATCGTGGGTGCAGATTTTGACAGTTACTCTTATTCTTCTTTTACTCCTTCGCGCTCGTCTCCCTCTCAGTTTTTCTCGTCGTCGTCTCCTTTATCTCCGCAATGCTCTTCCGTCTCGAAGTTTCTGAGGATTCCGCGTTGTGTGAGGATGGGTTCTCCTTCGACTAGACATCTGAGAGGAAATCGGTGGATTGAGATGGAGGGAGTGGGGGTGAGGCAGTGGGGGCTAGGGATGTCGAGGACCCCGAGGAATAGTCCGGTGTCGGCGGGTGCGTGGGGAGGTGGTTTGGGGGGGCTGGATTTTGGAAAGGGGGGTTGGGGGGTGGGGTGGAATTCGTTGGCTTTTAGTGAGGGTGAGGGTGGAGGTGAAGGGATTGGAAGGGGAAAGGGAGAGTTGGGGATGAAGATGAAGATGAGTCCGGTTGCACCGCCGAATACACCGTGTTCGCCTTTGGATTTGGGTTTGGGTTTGAGACGGTTGGAGAGGGGTTCGATGGATGAGGATGGAGAGGGAGAGGGAGAAGAGTGTGAGGTTTTGATTTTGAGTGAGAGTGAGAGTGAGAGTGAGAATGAGAATGAGAATGAAAACGAAACTGGGGACTCTATAGATATTTTTCGTGATACTACAGGATATTCGACAAGCGGGCGTGGGTTTGGACATCTTCCGCAAATAGTGGTGGGGTGTGAAGAGGGGGGGTAGGAACAGTTGGGTGTGAGTGTGGATGAGGGAATGGATGAAAGGTGTATAGTGGGGAGGTAGGAGACGGGCATGGAAAGTCGGCTGTGTAATTGATTGAATATATTATCAACCTGATGACAATATAGGTCATGGGAGTGTCTTTTACGGGGTGATTGGGGGTTGAGGTTGCTTTTGTTTGCGCTTGCGTTGGGTATTGTGGTGTAGCGTGGTGTTTTGGGCTAGCGATCGATGCATACATGGAGCATTTGCTATTGGAAGTTGATACTTGATACTTGACGGGTAGAGTAATACCAAAAGTTTGGATTTTGTTTCTTTTTTTCGTGTGGCATGACGTATTTTGATATTACTACTGGGTGGGATGAAGGGGTTTGCTTGATGCATGAGGGGAAGCGAAGTTCTTATTCTCGTCTCATTGGTAGTCGCAAGCTTCCCTTTCTCCGACAGGATCTTACTTTCAGATCTATCGAGTTAACTCATACTGTAGTTGCAGGAGCAAACTTGATCACACCGTTTCTCATGCATGGCTCTCTTTGGGCGAGCTTATAATTTACAGCTCCAAATAGCTAACTAGAACAGTGAGTTCGAGGCTTGAAACCATACAGTATTCTTAAAATTTAACCAATTTGTAAGGAAGTGAAGGCTTACATTAATTACTAACTGTGAAACAACCGATACTTGAAACCTATACTATGTTGATGTGTATATGATACTAGCATGGGACCAGTGCAGCTAGCTCATATTTTCCACTTTGAGATGCTTTGCGTGTTATAAATTGGAGTTAGAAGGGGAGGAAATTCTTATCAAGCTTTGATATCTTAAGCAAGAAGCACGAACCTATGCAAAGCACGAAGAAATTTCATGAGGCCCAGCACTAATAAAAACGGGGCTATAATTGCAGCCAATATACATACACTATCTTCTGTTTATATATACAAACCCACGAAAGTCTCTCTGGGCATTCTTGGAGAGACTGAGGGAGATTCGAGTAAGCTTCTCGTGCGTATTATCGAAATTGAGTGGATGGAAATTCTCACGATCCTTCTACTGCTACCATAACATCCGTATCTCACAATAACAAGAGTGCATTGAAACTAGAAGGATTGACGGAGTTGGTTGGAGATTGGCCAAAGAACGAGTCTTTCGAATGGCAATTTCAAGCTGGTAGGGTATCTCATAATGAGCAGGTTGGATTTCCAACCTTGTTGATTCCCTCGTACACTGGAAACTAGAAACTAGAAACTCTCTATTCTTGGATGTAGATATTTGGTAAATAACTTTTCATCTATCACCCGTAGAAGTAGTGGTATACAGGTCCTCAAGTTTTCATTGTCGTTTTTCACCGTTCAACACACTCATTTAACTTTCGAAGAATACGAAGCACCAACTGCACCGCATCAACTTCAGTGAACTACGATATCATCTTAAAACCTTTTGTAACAGTCTTCAAACTTATTCATCTTGTGCAAAAACTTATCATCCCTAGTAAAGATGCAATTCTCCATAGCTTCCGTTATGACTCTAGTCCTCGGTTCAGGACTCTCAGTTCATGGATACATACCCCCTCGAGCATTCAATAAAGCCAATGAGTATCCGGAAGAAAAATGGTGAGAATTGTATTACTTGCACAAACAAATCCCAAAATTTCCTAAATTGTTTACATAATCGAAAGTGAGCGAGTTCTCTAACCACTAATGCTACCGTCTACTAGTTTGGTTAAAAATGGATCTAACAAACCTACATAGGCCTAAACATCAAGTCTTTGTGCCCTGTATCTCTCTTGACAAGACAGACGTCTCCGCCTGTTTGTTTGCTATGTCCGGGCAACGTATGCTCGCATGCTCCAATCAAAACTGCAACCCCGGAACCAACGGCGAAGATGGTCTCGGCGATATCGGTGGGGGCTGTGCCGAATTGGACACACATTTCACGGCAGGCAGAATCAAAAGTGTTACTAGTAGACACCAGCTATTCGTGAGATTGGAGAGGCGATATTGGCAGGCTTCGAAGCTTTCGTTACCGATGCCACTAAAATGGCGCTCGATGGGATCATCGAGGTCCCGAAATAAGGGAGCGCTGGATATGGATAGTCATGGGGCTGAGATTGAGTGTTAACATGATTAGCGGATAGTATGGCAGCCCGGAGTGGATGTTCCTTTTGAATGTAATGCAGCCATTATTTCTGTCTTATATGGTCAGCCCATCATTTATTAGTTCCTTTGCCCCTAGAATACATCACAGATAGGTAGTATTCTTGGGGTAGGAAAATCAAATAATGTCACCAATCTATGGCTAGCTCAGCCAATCACATAGCGAAAGCCACGTTTAGGTGAATTGTCAGATGGGCAAATTTAGATACCGAACTAGCGCTAATTCTCCCTTAAAAACTTGCTACTGATGTTATCTGATTAGATAACTCATCAGTCACAGAGGATTGGATCTTTCAACAGACCGTATGCCTCTGAGCAGACAGGATGAAGTCGACAAGAGAAGTATCAGGATATATTTGCCGCAAGGTTAACCCGCCTGCGTAAGCGATAATGCAACCTCACCCTCCAGCTAGTCGAATCAGACCAAACGCGTGAGACCTGCGTTAGTCTATTTTCAATCCACTCTTAATTCTCGACGTTTTCACGATCGAATCCACCACCGTGCAATATCTTCACTGGGGCAGATCCGCTGTTGGGCAAGAAGCACAGGTCGGGAACAGAAACTTGGGAGCTTATCTGTTAGCAGAGCTTCTCACAACTTGCATATAAAATTTGACGCTGCAATGTGGAAAGTGGAAGCCAAAGACCTGCTATTTGTCAAGCGTATGGTTGATAGCCTGACATATGATCCAGCTCTTGTGCTCTTGAAAAGAGCTTATTCCGTAATTCTGACGATATCCTTATCATGCTATGTATAACAAACGTCATTCCACTGTTGGATCGGCCTAGCGAGCCTAATAGGGGAACATATTCGAACTAAAGATGCCTTGAAGATATGGAATTTCTTTCTTTAGCATGAAAACATGAACTAATCTTTCGGTTATCCCTGCTCTATGCCCTAGATTCCCACTTCGCTTTCACAATCATTGTTGTTCAGTAAATCTAAGTTGTTTTAAACGGAGTACCGAGGTATTGGCAGATGTTAATGTATCCTATGCATAGGTAGTATTTAGGTCAGATTATGAAAAATAAATGGTTTGATCAAGTATCGAGTGCGTGATCTGATCCAGCCGTAATGCAATAGAGTGGCAACGAGTCATCCTAACAGGTCCATTCTGCAACGACGGAGGAATGGAGACCAACTTAGAATCTTACTTTAATCTGAAGAAGTGTTATCTCCGTCTGCTGCGCCACCAATATATTCTCATGTAGTTAGATAATACCGTAGTTCCACCTAACAGGTCCCATAAAAAGATGGAACAGCAATTCTTCATTTCAAATACCAAAAAATATACTAAGAAACAATGCTATAGCGATTGTGTTAACCTGGAATCTGACTTGTGAAGTTTCAGTCTTGCTCTAGAGCACTTTAGTTTTAAAGGTAGACATTTCAGGCGGATTTTGAGCAAGAGAAAGGCTACTTGCAGCCTAGATCATTATATGGACCAAGAGACTACATAGTAGGTAAAGCTTGTGTCATTAGGTTATCTTCGGTGTGAGGTCAAATTCTATGGAAACTGCTAATGATTTGACCCCTCCACAGTCTCTGAATAATCTCTGCTGCAATTTCAATATCTTTAAGCAAATATCTTAGGGTTCATCATTCATACCGCAAGTTAAGCCCCTCATCTTTCAATTATATGGGCTAACCCAATCCAGATTACCGTACGTTCCATCACATCTAATAAGTTATGTGAGCCCCGAATAATGAGATCATAGCTCTTACGATTGCCTTTCGATTCTTTGCCCTATCGCTGGGTGCGGGTATCCTATCATCATACGTAGAGCTCGAACCGCCGGGCCTCTATCATAACAACCTGAAGCGATCAACTCTCAGGAACCATATATGGCGAGAGACAATATGGTTTGAAGGATGGACGAGGATAATTTGTGCCTCAATTGCCACTGCAATTGCAATACCTCTACTTGTGCAAGCCATTTTACATATGCCAAGTTTGCCCGTCTTAGTAATGTTATTTGTGAGTTCAACTTTTCCCCAATTGAAGTTGAGAATTAACATTCTGCTGGTTAGCCTTTGGCGCGGACCATAGAAAAAATCGTTTTATTTGCATCAAGCTCCACATGCTCATAAAATATGTGAGCTGATACCCCTTATCGATACTTACCTCGTTGAGAATACGGAGATACTCAGCTTAGCTTTATTGGTGTGTTATGTAACTGTCAAGATTGTAGTGATCGATGGAATTGGGAAGATCAGTGAAAAATGGTGCTATCTTTATATAACAAACTGCATCACAACGACACGTGCGAGGGGCCTGTTTTGCTGTCATATAAGGGACAGTTTGTAGCTTCCGCACATCGTATTAGAGGAATTCCACTGGCTATCTATGAGGAATTTCTTAATGCGGTTACTTCAAAGACTAGTTGGACCCACAAGGAAAGCATAATTGGCAATAAGTTTGACAAGTTCGCATGCATCATATTTCGGGTATACTATTGAAAGACTTTGGAATTTGCTTTTACTATGCTCGAACTTGCGGATTGCAACCATGTGTTCGAGTTTACTAAGTCAACGGAGAAGATTCGTTAGGATTGATAATTGTCAAAGTTTAGATTAGAATAATGTATTCGCAGTGTTGAAATCAGCTCGAGCTTTAAGATTTTCGATATCTGACTCCTAGAATATCTACTTCGGTCTTGGTCATTAACTTTCTACATAGTTGCAGTAGTGTATCATTGTTCAAGATTAAATTGCTCAACATTGCAAAGGCTACCAAAGAGCTAGATTGCAAATGCATTGCCGGTATCACTTCATCAGAAGTAGAGGACAAATTGGGTTGGATAAGCAAATAACACAATGGGATCTGGGTTGAAAAAGACGTGACTAATAAGCGTTAATCAATCGCAGTGATAATTGACGAATAGAACACCGAGATTGCAACCTTCCGTATCCTATGAAAACATTACATATCGTGTTCGTTTACTATACAATGAAAATTCATAATCAAAGATTTCTTGAGATCGGACTGCATACCAAGCTGGTTCTCCACAAAGAAAAACTAATTGAAACTCATTCAGATTGTTAAACTTTCACACATCTTTGATTGGTTTTTGCGCTGCTGCTTCGATCTTCATCTGGCTTTCGGGCTGCACACCTTGTACTGGCTCCTCTTCCCCTGTTCGCCAGACCCAACTCTCACAACATTCACAACAGCATCCCTCCCCTTTCCTTCGAGAATCAACTCCATTTTCGTTTCCATCTTCTAGCCTCTAGGATTGACACGACCATTAACATGGATCGGTTGGCATACAAGCCCCAATGACTAGCCATCTACACTTGGATTAGCCCTAGAAACATATTGGAAAAGCGATCTGTAAAGCGGGTAGCTGTGCTCCGTAGGCGAGGAGAGGCTAGGGTCAAGACAGCCTGGCTTAGCATACATCAACGTCCATAATTTCGGTAGTTCTGGTGGACATGTAGGTGGAGTGACGATGCGCAAAGCAGAGGAGAATCTGTGGGTTTCTGAGGTGGATGAGAGACAGGTTGAGAGTGGAATTTGGAAGATTTGTGGATGGAATGTTTGACTTAGTGCAAGAGTTGCGTTTTGTGGAATGGCAGATATTTGATGTGCTTCGGGGAGTTTCACTTTTGTGAGGAGCGATCATTCAAATGGCCATTGTTGGTGGGGACATACTGGCAAACCAACAGTTGGTACTGATTCTCTTAGAAGTCTTGGGCTTTCGACGGATTTGATTTCGCTACTCTCATACCCACGGTCCAAATATCTGAACAAGGCCAGCATGGATCAAACATGGCGAAATAGTTCAATACCCTAGTCCTGTTGAGTATTGTTCTTCCAACGATTTTCTGGCTGTGGACAAAGATACTGGCTTGGTCAACTGGAAATAAAGCCGGATGCTCTTCTCCGACCTATTTTACTACAACCAGGCGACCAGATCGAGTTAATATATGGCTGTATGCATAAAGACAAATATATCTGGGGTGATGATGTATTCGAATTCAATCCGGAGAGGATGGTTCGACTTAAACACAGTAGGAAATTTATTCCATTTTCTGGAGGGCGTCGTACATGCCCGGCCCAGCAAAACGCATACACTGATATGGGATACTTTTTGGTCAGGATAGTACAAGAGTTCAAAACTATTCAAAACCGGGATGATTGCTTAGAGAATGTCGAGAAGTGTGTGATGACCAAATCCAGTCGAAATGGAGTCAAAGTTGCATTCTCAGTCAAGTAGGGGTCCTTGGTCATCGGTAATCTATAACAGCCTGTACTCACTGGCTGTCTATAAACTATGATCGGTATGCTGGAGATGGTGGTCAATCGAGCACAACTTGGGAAGCAAATATCAACGTCAAGAATGTTAATGCTGTCTGAAGAACTGCACTTTGATGCGACTATTGAATTGTGCTTATTAAGCTGGATTTACACTCACGTGACTATACCGTGGCCTCAATGTTTGAAATTCAGGGTTGCCGATACGCTAGAGAAACGCGCTGCTTTACCTAGATAAGCACCGACCTTCCGTGATCCGTGATGGGATGGGATCACTAGAGGGGCCGAGCAACGCCAAAAATATCAAAATAATACTTGGTAGGTAGAAACTAAAATAAGAATTCTATATCTGGCTGAATCCATCAGGAACCCCCCACAGTTTGAATTGAACCCCTAATCAGGATTGTTAGAATTCATGTTATGAATTGTTGATATATTCTCAGTCTCTCTTTACTTTCTTGCATAAAATTCTAACTTCTATTCACTCACTCACTCACTCACTCATATAGTCCACACGCCTTTCCTATACCTCGTTCTTTGCCGCTTCAGAACTCTCGATTCCATGATATGATCGAGCAATGAGTATTTTCTCATATGTGCGGAGCCTTTATGCTCTAGATACCATCGATACACGCTTCACGAATTCTTCTTCGACTCCATATGAGATTGATCCTGCTGCTGCAAAGTCAAAACGAGATGACTCGAAACCGGGCGAAGGGGTACGAACAGACAGTAATGGCAGACCAATTGCTCAACCGTCGAGATGGAATACCACAGAGTTTTATTTCTATTATTTCATCTTCTTGACGGTTGTGCCATACATGTTCTGGATCGCCTATGATGTGTCTAGACGTTAGTATATGAATTGGCTCTATGGCAAAGATAATCTAACCAGTGTCCAGCTTCCGATCCTAATTATCATAAATACAAGCACCTCCTTTCTGATGGATGGATTCCTGGGCGCAAGATTGTATGGGCTACTTGAAGAAGATTGCTATGGTAAATGCTAATTCAATGTAGGATATTTCGGATGCACAATATTATAACTTTCGAACTAATGTACCATATCTTGCGATTCTTGTCGTTTTCCATCCTCTCCTTCGACGAATATATGACTTTCTCAGACCCATCTCTGCTCGAGTAGGATCGCCAAAACTAAACGGCAATAACACATATATATCTGTGGCGGAAGGCAATGCGAGACTTCAACAACGTACCGGATTCGACTTCATTTTTGCTTTCATATACCTCCTCGCTTTGCATGGATTTTCCGCTTTCAAAGTCATTGCGATAGTCTATACAAACTACTGTCTGGCTACTCGACTTCCTCGAAAGTTTGTGCCTGTAGCAACATGGGTTTTCAATATCGGTATATTGTTTGCCAACGAGCTCTCAGATGGGTACAGATATACATCAATAGCACAATATGTGTTTCCCAAGAATGAAGCCGGTTTCCAAGAAGGGGCTATGTTGCACAGCTGGGCAGAGTGGATGGATAGTTATTCGGGCATCATTCCACGATGGGAGATCCTGTTTAATCTTACTGTCTTGAGATTGATCAGTTTCAATCTGGATTATTACTGGAGTTTAGAGAAAGGAGCTGGAAGTGCATTAGAGGTAGGTCATCATCAAAATGCCGTCCGTATGCTCTCATCTAATACTAATGCGCAAAAGAAGAAGCAACTTGACCCTGCCAATCTTTCCGAAAGAGATCGCGTTTCGATGCCTGCGCCGGATAAGGACTACAATTATCGAAACTACTTCGCATATGCGATTTATGCACCTTTGTATCTAGCAGGACCAATCTTCACATTTAATGATTACGTTTCTCAGTCGAAATATCGCCCTGCTAGCATAGACAGTAAACGTACCTTTAAGTATGGTATTCGTTTCCTGCTTTGTTTGTTGGCAATCGAACTTCTCCTACATTTCGATTATTGTGTGGCTATCTCCAAAGGCAATCCCAACTGGTCTGATTACACCCCAGCCCAACTGAGTTTACTCTCATACTTCAATCTCCATGTATTATGGTTGAAGCTTCTTTTGCCTTGGAGATTCTTCAGACTTTGGTCTCTCATTGATGGAATTGACCCGCCGGAAAATATGCTTCGCTGTCTTTCCGATAACCCATCTACCGTTCAATTCTGGCGAAGCTGGCATCGCAGCTACAACCGCTGGATCATCCGCTACATCTACATCCCTCTAGGAGGTTCTTCATCACGAAATTGGAAAGCACAAGTCCGATCAATTGTCAATTATCTCGTCGTTTTCACATTTGTAGCCTTATGGCATGATATAAGTCTTAACCTGTTGGTGTGGGGCTGGCTCATAGTTTTCTTCATGTTACCGGAAGTTATTGCTGGCATGCTCTTCCCAAGAAAGAAGTGGCTCAATGATCTTACATATTACAGAGTCATTTGCGGTATTGGTGCAGTGGCGAATTTGATGTTCATGATGATAGCAAACTTGGTTGGGTTTGCTGTCGGCGTTGATGGATTGAAGAGCATCATTTCTGGCATTTTTAGGGACTTCTCAGGTATGTTCCACTCAAGTATTGACAAGGGGCATTTAACTAATCCACACAATAGGAATCGTTTTTCTGATTACGGCTTGGGGGGCACTTTTCGTTGGGTGTCAGGTGATGTTTGAAGTAAGGGAGAGTGAACACAGAAAGGGAATTTTCCTACGATGTTAGAATTACCATCAAGGCCAATGTCAAAATTGCAGTTTTTTTTCTTTTTTATACTTGAGCTTCTTTTATATCCTTAGCCTCCTGTTGATGCTTTGATTCACTTAGAGGTGACTCGCGTAGTTCGAAATTATTCCCCCCGAAATTCAATCTTTACCAGACGGTGAATAATCTTATATCCCTTAGAAGCATCACACTTTCTCTAGTCAACATTAAGTTTGACTCTCTTCTCATGTATCTCATACAATCGCTAACAGTAACTGGCACTTTCAATGATTGATATCGTTTTCCTATACACAATCCAACAGGAGAAGATTTCCGGCTAAATCCATCAACTCCATGGAGTTACGATGTCACAAGAAATGTAACATACTCAACAAATGATATATCCGTGGACTAGAGCTGGGTGTCTGGATGTATCTCTTCCCATTTAAAGTCTCAATACCTCTTTAATTTTGAATACTCATCTTAGTATTTCCACTCTACTTCGTATCATACAAACCACCCATTCATAAAACCCCTCACATCATACCACCACATCAAGATGTCCACCACCATTCCCGAAACCATGCGTGCCATCATGCTCAGCAACCTCGGTCCTCCCTCCTCTCTCAAAATCGAAACAATTCCCACTCCTAACCCCCCAACCTGGCCAAGTACTGATAAGAGTTCGCGCATTCGCTCTTAATCGCTCGGGCAAGACTGCGTCACTCGCCTATCCGCGACGTCCCTCTCCCTAGAGTTTTGGGTATTGAATGTGTTGGTACTGTCGCTGCTGTTCTAGAGGAGGAGGAGGATGGTGGTAAAGGGAAAGATGGATTGAAGGTTGGTGATAAAGTAGCTACGTTTAGGGTGGAATGGGTCGCGATTTTGATGGTGGATATGCGGAGTTTTGTGTTGTACCCAGGGCACAAGTTGCGAGGATTGGTGTTGAAAAGGGGTTGGAGGAGTTGGGATGGGATGTTTGGGGTGCGTTACCGGAGATGATTCAGACTTCTGTGAGTAGTCTCTTTCTATGTGATCTACTATTCGTCTCCTTATTTATACACTCATACATCTATGGTACCTTTTAATGATACTAACCACACCCCAACAGTGGGGCTCCCTCTTCTCCTCCCTCGAACTCAAGAAAGACAATCCTCTCCTCATCCGCGGCGGAACCTCCTCAATCGGTCTCGCCGCCGCAGCACTGGCATCCCACCTCCACCACTCGCCAACCATCTCGCACCCCACTCCTTCTCGACACAGGTGCACATCACGTTCTCATCGATCTACCATCCGGTCTCCCATCTCCCACCACCAATATCCGTTTCGATACAATCCTCGAACTAGTAGGACCCACCACCCTGGATGATTCGTTCCAGCTGTTGAGAACTGGAGGTGTATTGTGTCAAGCGGGTATTTGTGGTGGTAAATGGATTTTGGAAAATTGGAGTCCTTTTGCGATGGAAGCGGAATATTTCACATCATATGCGAGTAGTGTGGAGAGATTCTTGGAGACGAGTTTGGACAGTGTGGCGGGATTGGTTAGGGGAGGGAAAATTAGGATTCCGATTAGAGTTTTTGAGGGGTTGGGGGAGATTGTGGAGGCGCGTAGGGTTATGGAGGTGGAGGGGGCGGCGGGGAAGATTGTAGTAGTTGTTTAGGGATTAGGGCAGAGATTATTGCTGAATATATTGATGATTGATTGAAATTCTGACACATACGACCATAAACTGAAGAGAATTGGGCATCCCGTCCGCTCTGCCATACACAAGCTTCAGATCGGTGGATTAGTAGTTGGGTGGGTGACCACCAGCGAATCCCCACTGTTGTATGTTTTCTTTTTGCTGTCTGCAGCGTTGAATCTTTTTGGAGTCGTTAAGATGTCCTTGGCTGTGAAGCTGAAAACACACGATGAATTGATCTCCTCCTTGATTCCATCCACATCCGTTCAATTTTGTCCCTAACCTTTCTCTCACTTTGAGCCATTCGTTTTTGGTATTTTCCAATTGAATTCGGACACAATTCCCCTTCGCATTAGACTTTCATCTCGTCACTCACTCACTCACTCACTCACGATTCCCGTTCTTCCTTCATTGCGGTCCTGTTGTCATGAGGTTTTGAACTGTTCATTCGACGTTCATCGTCAAAGCTCTGTTTCAGCAAAGCCCTCATCAGTTTAGTCCAATCCAGTCCAGTCCAAGTTCTATCTAATTCTGCCTCTCTTCCTTCAAGAATAGGAGATTGAACTTCTTTCCGTTGTTTCGAACGAAGATATATCTTCTGTTACTATTCCCAACAAGCGTTTGGCATACCATTGCTTCCATATTGTCCTCCATCGTTCCCTCACATAGCATCATCTCGCACGTGACCAAACATACACGTGACCAATCCTCTACGTCACCATTCAATCCCTTCGTCCTAGCTTTTCGGGGGCGACGAATTAAGGAGTTGTTTTGCCAAGATTCGAAATATTGATTTTGACTTTTATGATGACTGCTTGGTTTAGTTTTGTTTTCCATGTTCCGATAAAGTTTGATATTTGACCATTGTTATATGATCAAGTCGCCGTGCTAATCCTGTCTTTACATCCATAGAACTGTCACATCAATTGTGAAGTTGCACCCCAAGATGTGGGATCAATTGGAACCAACTGCTCCCCATATAACATATTTTGTCCTTCCACTTTTTCTCATCACTTATGCCCTCTTCTCAAATTTTATCCGCAACCATCTTCATCTCTCAGAACCTCCTCTCGCTATTCTCTTTGGTATCATCCTTGGTCCATATGTTCTCAAAGTACTTACCCCAGAAGAATGGGGCTTTGACGATGGAATCATGCAGGAAATCACTCGTGTGATTGTAGGCATTCAATGTTTTGCTGTAGGATTAGAACTTCCCAAACATTATTTCAAAAGACATTGGAAATCTGTTCTCTATCTCCTAGGTCCAGTTATGTCATATTCCTGGGCCATCACTTCATTATTCGCCTACTTCATTTTTCAAACCACCGTACCCACCGCTTTGATAATAGGAGCTTGCCTCTCACCAACCGATCCCATTCTCGCTGCATCCGTCCTTTCACAGTCTCGATTCGCCGAAAGAGTTCCTCCACGTATTCGTCATCTTCTTGCAGCCGAGTCGGCTTGCAATGATGGAGTCTCTTTTCCATTTCTTTTCATCGGTCTTGTGATCTTCACTACTCATGGAGGTCCTGGGGGAGCTATCAAAGAATGGGTACTAATCACACTGCTCTGGCAATGTCTACTCGGCATCGTAGCAGGTCTCATACTTGGAAACATAGCCAATCGACTTCTTCGATTCTCAGATACTCACGAATACATATCCAGACCTTGTTTTGTGGTATTCTACCTTCTCCTTGCCATGCTTTCTATTGGCATCGGATCTCTCCTGGGTTCAGATGATTTTCTAGTCGCTTTCGGTGCTGGAGTCGGTTTCGCCCATGATGGATGGTTCTCCAAAAAGACCAAGACTGTGGCTTTTCCAGTCATCGTGGATCATCTACTCAATTCTACTATGTTTGCATACTTTGGCTCCATTATTCCGTGGAATCAATTCCAGCCAACAACCATTACACCACATATCAAACCTTGGACTCTCATCCTTTTCCTCATTCTTGTTCTTCTCTTCCGCAGAATCCCAATCCTTCTCTTAACCAAACCCTTCATTCCAGATATTTGCACTTATCGCGAAGCACTCTTTGCAGGACACTTTGGTCCCATGGGTGTAGGCGCTTTATTCCTTGCTATAGAAGCAAGGGCACAACTCGAAACTGGTACATCACTACCTCTTCCTGAGCCAATATTCCCCAACGAGCCAGGCCCCGTCAGCGAAGAAACAAAGGCAATTTGGATCATTTGGCCGGTCATATGTTTTGTAGTGTTTGGAAGTACAATGATACATGGATTGAGCGTGATAGGAATTAGTTTAGGAGGTTACTTTTTGAGAAAAGAGGGAGAAAGGGCACCATTATTGGGGGAAACGCGGGGATTAAGTGGGATGGTTCATGAAGGGGGTGGAGGTGAGAGTGAACCGGAAGTTAGTGGGAGTGAAGCTGAATAGTGTGTCTGAGTTTTGAGAATGTCTTTTTGAGGGCATCTTCTACTTGCTTGATGTTTTTTAAGTACACCATGCATGTACACTCTTTGATGCGTATTCTAGAGATAAATCAACTATTCCCTCGTATCAGAATCAAACTAAGCAAGAAAATTTGATATATTCATTCACGTTCCGTTGTTTGCACTTCTTTCTTCCTCTTTTGGTTTTTCGTTATTCGTTATGTTCATTTACCAGTTGTCAATTCTGCCGTTCTATTCAATCACACCATTACCCCATCACACCACAGCATAATCTCAACACCCCATCTTCTAACTAGGCATTTTTTATAAAATTCCCTACGCAATACGTATAAGTTAGTCAGAAGCAGATATCATCTCGTAATAAGAATTTAGACCCCAGCTTATCGCACACTAAACAAAAACACACTAAAAATTCTTATTTCTTTAACTTTTAAATTATATATTAATTTAATTAATTTATAACGTGGTTTAACACCGAGTGCACCATATCACCGAGTGCACCACTTTTACCTCAATTTACATTCTTCAACTTCAATATGCGATTTATTAATCATTTATTATACAATCAAATAGAAAAGAAGCTCAAATACTTTTAGTTATTGAAACTATTCAAAAAGATAAGAAACTTAGTATTCGAAAGGCTGCCAAACTATATAATATAATGTATACAATACTTCTCTACAGAATGAATGGTTTACTCCCTTGTATAGAAATTCGAGTAAATAATCATAAAATGATTGATTTAGAAAAGGAGGTACTTATTCAGTATATAATTGATATAAATGATAAAGGATTCTCATCTAAATTAAATGGTATAAAAGGTATAACAAATTATATTCTTTAATTGTAAGGAGTAAAGAAGGTTGGAAAGCTTTGGGTTCATTGATTTATAAAGCGTTATACAAGATTAAAAATATGTTTTAATTGTGTTTATAACTTTCAAAAAGCTTTTTGTGAAGATCCTAAGCTTATTGAAGATTGGTTTCATATAATTTCGAATATATGGACGAAATATGATATTCTTGATTACGATTTCCACAACTTTAATAAAACCGGCTTTATAATAAGCATGATATACCCCAAAATAGTTGTAACTAATGCTAAACGAAATGATAAAAGAAAAGTAATACAATCAGGTAATTGAGAATGGGTAATAGTAATCATATATAGTAATAATAAGAAGGATACTATACCTCCATTTCTAATAGTTCAAGGACAGATGTATCTTTCCAATTGATATACCGAAACCGATTTTCCTGTGGATTGGGCTATTAAACCTATATCTAATGAATGGACGAACAATAAGATAGAATTAGAATGGCTGAAATACTTCAATAAATATACAAGAAATCGAACTAAGGGTAAATATAGAATGCTAATGCTGGATGGGTATGAGAACTATAAATCAATACTATTCCAGAACTATTACAAAAAGAATGATATTAAATGTATATATTTATTATTGTATTCAAGTTATTTAACTCAATCTTTTGATATTAGATGTTTTAGTATCTTAAAACGAGAATATAATACTCAAATTAAGAGATTTATAAAAGCATATATTCATCATATCTCAAAGATCGAATTCTTTATAGCTTTTAAAGCTGTATATTAATGATCAATCACAAATCAGAATATAAGAACTGGATTTCAAAGAGTAGAATTAATTCCATTTAATTCTAAAGCAGTACTTTCTAAGTTGAATATTCGAATCCATATACTTACTCCCCCTCCTTTTAATTTAGATCTTTAAATCTTTCAAATACTTCAGAATCCTATAGAAGCTTTTTTTCAATTAATATTAATTAAATCTCGAATAACTCATTATCAATTAAGTTCTCCTATACCTATATTCGAAACTATATTAGCTCTAGTTAAAGGTACAGAGAGATTAGCTCATAAGAATACACTTTTGAATGTAGAGATTTGTATACTTTGGAAAGCAAATAAGGCATTAAGTAAATATTAATATATAAAAAAAACTCAATTATATTAAAGAAAAATGTTCATTAAATAAAAGACTTTTAATATATTATCTCAGCAAGAAGTTGATATTTAGATTCAATACAATGAGTATCAAAACAAAGGCAATCCTAATAGGGAAGCATTTTCTAATAAATGCTATAATAAGTGTGGAAAATCAGATTATAATTCAAGAACTTATCAAAATAATATAATAGATCCTAGATTATTAGATTCTTAATAGTTTCAATTAATTAATTCAATTGTTGTTGAAAAATATAAATTAGAAAGTGTAAATTGAGGTAAAAGTGATGCATTCGGTGATATGGTGCACTCGGTGTTAAACCACGTTAAATTAAGTTTATAAAAATAATATATAGGATTGAAAATTATTAAAATGATTCAAAAAAACAAATGAAATATTTTTAATTATTTTCAATAAAGTTATAGATTCTTAAAATTGAAAGTATTAAAAAACTTAAAAAAAAGTGATTTTTTTATATAGGAAAAGTATTATATATTATAAATTTTGAAAATTTTCAATTTTGAAAGTCTATAATTTTATTAATTTTTATAATTTTAAGGAACTATTTAGATCGAATATTCTTTATATAGTTATTTTTTATATATATAATTTTCAAATCAATTCTTTAGACAATTAATGAATTATGAAAATAGTTAATTTATATAAAAAAACAGTACTTTTGTAGAGATTTTATCATGAAAAAGGGTGGTGTGTGATAAGCCGGGGCCTTAACTCTTATATTCTAAAAAAAATCGATAATAATATATACCTACCATCTCGAGATTATTCAAGAAATCGGAAAGGGGACAGTCTTTCTCATGATTGTAAATGTGGATGTGGATGTGGATATAGTGTATCGTGATATTAATTGATGCTGGGAATGATGCTGCTGGAAATGATGAAAATGATAATATTATACAATCTCACTCGCTTGTATAGGGGAAGTGTTAATGTCGAGTATATGAATGAGTGTTGTAGGTAGGTATATTAGGTATCTTTGTATATCTTTTTATATCTTGATGTATCTTTCTTTATATGTCTAGGTAGGTGGATAGTTGTAGGTATATGAGCTTGAGATGAATGTAAGAGGAGAGGAGGAAGTTTAGAACTAGGTTTAATAGTTAGTTGTAAAGAAAGAATTCTATAGATAATAATTAGAGGATTAAAGGGAATGAGTAGAATAAATAATAAATAATAAATAATAAATAATAAATAATAAATAATAAATAATAAATAATAAATAATAAATAATAAATAATAAATAATAAATAATAAATAATAAATAATAAATAATAAATAATAAATAATAAATAATAAATAATAAATAATAAATAATAAATAATAAATAATAAATAATAATAATAAATAATAAATAATAAATAATAATGAATAAATAATAAATAATAAATAATAATGAATAAATAATAAATAATAAATAATAAATAATAATGAATAAATAATAAATAATAAATAATAAACTTTTAAGCCTCCTACTTCTTCACTAAAGCTTTATATAAAATAATAATAAAAATTTAAAATCGAGTTAAAAAGAACTTAAATATATATAAAAAAGCTAATTTATTTTTAATATTTTTATTTTCACTATATAAAAAAGTACTACAAATTAGAAATTATTAATTTTTTAATTTCAAATAAAAATAAATTATAGATTTTTTTTAATACAAAATAATATTAATTATTTATCTTGAAATTTTAAAAATAAAATTCTTTAGACCGAAAAAGTTATTAAATTCTTTAATTTATAAAAAAAAATACTATTTTTGTAGGGATCTTATTATAAAACTTATGGGGTGCGATAAAGAGGTTCCAGAACTGTTGGAGAACGCGACTAGGGGCGTGACATTACATGTCACGCTTTATCCCACATAGACACTCCGTGCGTAAGTGGGGTGGTTACACGTATAGATAGCAAGTCCCTCTTCGTACAAAGAGGGCAGACAGCATTACAATACCTTTTTACCCCTATACGCTTTGTGTATACACCTTACCAAGTCTGCCCAACAAGAACTCTTATATATGCAGGCATATATCGTGAGCAAGGAAAAAGGAAAGGGTAGTTATCAATTCCGGTGACATGCGAATAACGTCAATAACCTTAGTGAAAGTAGCCACATGAAACGATTTCCCACGGGGACGCAACAATTCACCATTCTTCAAAAGTGGGAAGTGTTCACCGAGGCCGGGAAACTGGTGAATTGAAACTTGATGATCTGATTCTGATTTTATCACGCTCGAAGCAGGTCGAGCAGATATTCTCTACTCCTCGAACTAACTCTCTAGTCTTTCATTCGTTTAATCTATGAAATGCAATTGCGGGAAAGAAAGTAAAGTTTCGCATTTCAGAGTTGAGATCACTGAGATGTTCTCCAGTCTAATGAGGGAAATAAGTTCTGCAATCACTTGTCGAGATAAAATCTGGTGAGGAGTCATTATGGTAAGTCACTGTAAGTTCATTCTAACCGATTGTATAGGTTGGGCTTCTAGTACAGGTCCCAGAGAAATCACGCTCGAGTCACGTTGCAGATTTGTATTAAAGGAGATGCATATTTATTGAGATTTTATAATATATCTCCACCTATGTTCAACAACAAGAGACTCTCTTAACTCTTATCTCTTCTCTACAACAAAAATAAGAAACTATTTTATCCTTGTTTATTTCTTTATCAAAAATTTAAATCATTTTATTTTTGGTTTTCTATTTTATACTATATAATATATAATTTCCAATTTTTATTAATTCTAATAATTAAAATTATATAATAGAATAATTTAATATACTATTTATAGATTTTATCAATACTTTTTCAGATAATCTAAAAAAAAACCTTGAATGTTTTTCTTTATTTTCACATAAATGTTTTTAGATTATCTAAAAAATCTTGAGTTTGCCTATTATTTTATCTTAGATAAATATTCTTAGAAAATCTAGAGAAGATAATTTATAGAAAAGTTTAGAATAATATTAATTTATTAAATGCTTTACTATTATGAGAAGAAAACTTTTATTTGTGTTTTTGAGAAGATCTAGAAATAATTATTTTCAGAAAATCTAAAAAGTATTATTAAAATCTATCATTAGTATATTCTAATATTCTGTTATATTATTTTAATTGTTAGAATTAATGTAGATTGGAAATTATATACTCTATAATATAGAATAGCAAAACAAAAGTTAAATAATTTGAATCCTAAGAAAATAAATGAGAATAAAATAGCTTCTTACCTTTTATCATAAAAAAGAGATAAGGGTTAAGAGAGTCTTTAGTCGTCGGATATAGGTGATAGTCTTATTCTATAGAGGTATTTGTGAAAATTGAAGGGGAGCGCATAGTTTGATAATTGTGTCACAGAGAGGTATATAGAGAACGGAGATGATGAATGTCCGTATAATTGAAGACGAGTGGGAAATATAGTAGTAGAGCGAGTGCTAGGCGTGGAAGAAGTAGAATATCTTGATAATGACAGATACCGAATGGATTGTGGATTGTCGTCTCAGATCAGTACCACTAATTTGTCCCGAGTTTCAATACCAACGCAAGCTTTCTGTATGTTTCAAGCCCGAGAAATCACTGTCAAGTGCCTATCTCTCCTCGGTGCCACGCACGTTCGGTGAAGTTGGCCAAATGTCGGTATTCAATCAGTCCTTATTAGAGAGCTTTTACATTCAATTAGAACATCACTATGACTTCAAATTCTTACGAGCCTCTTTTCGGATCTATCTGCTCTGCATCTCAAAAAGCGATCATCTCCAATTCACCGTTTCAAGGAGTGAGAAGTCGGGGAAAAATCTTTCTTCTACGTGCGAAGTATATCTGTACTGCATTGCTGCTATCCCAATATATCTTCTAAGTATAAGCGATAATAGATGCGTATTCTATGCATATGTAGCTAAGACGAGACTTATCCAAACTTTTCGAGGTCTGTTGACCATTGGATCACTGCCATACAAGAGTGAATGAAAACCACTTCACCGCAAGAAGACAAGCTCGAATAACTGTACATCTATACTCGGTCAGTCGGCTTAACGGCTTTGATTGCTTGGATCCTTGAGTCTGGAAAGTGGTTCTTCGCATCAGGGGTTAGGGTTACGCTTGGTGTACCTTCGGTACAATGTTGATGTGGCACCCGAGGACCCGAGATGAATTTATGCTTATTCCATACTTGCATAGAGTTGTTGTACAGCACTCTTTTTAAAATTTAAGCTTCGTTAAGCTAAAAGTAATCTCGGGTTAGAAATTACCATTTAGGAAATTCTGGGGGCGGGGTAGGGCAATATAAAATAGTTGGTGCTAAAGGGGAAAGGATAATTGCCGCTAGACACCATTTCGAGACTATGGCTTTTTCAAACTCTATGAGAATCTTAGATATCTGATTGCAATCAATCGCTGGGAATTTGATCGAATAAATCCATCCGATTTATTGCTTTACCTAGGTTTGATGATGAGAGACAAGGTCAAACATCTGGGTATATCTTCCCTAGTCAAGTTAATATTACAATGTGTGGACTTGACCTATCATACCACAGAACTTATACATAAGATCTCAACAACCACCAATTTCCCCCCTAATCGACGCCACCGCACTTGATCCTGCTACCGAAACTAGTTTCTTCACTCACCTCCACCCTTCGTACCAACTTATCGCCTGCTACCCGAAACTCCATTTACCTTAAATTGAACAACAAGAATCCATACAAGCTACAACTCTAGGCTAATTGATGAGCCATATCAGGCGCACCACTCAGCATCATTACTTCAATCATCAATCTATGTTCTGCCATCTGCTCTGCCTTGTTTTGTGCACCCCTGTTGAACCAACCGTTGTAATCTATCAACGCCGTAGCGTGTATCAAGCAGGCGAAAGAGCATAAGCACAATCCCTCGGCCTACTTTCTCCACCGCTTATTGTTGAATATGTTGGGAGCGGCAGTGAGTGTTTCTAGGTTAGGGGTAGTAGTAAGGATGGAAGAGGCTGAGAACTTTGGTGGCTGGATTTCTTGGCTCCAACGGTTCTCTTCATGAAGCTTGAGGAGTTTTGTGCTTGACGACTCCCTCAAGTTGGTGACGAGAATTTGGGTGTTGGATTGAATGGGTATCTGCAGAAGATGTTGTATATCTGTCATGTAGAGGATATGAAACTGAAAAGGATGAACTCACCGACGAGATGATTGTAAGGGGCAATGATAGAATAGTAAAAGATTGTACCGCAGCATATTTTACGCACCCAAGATTTGTATTTTGCTTCTCATTGGATATGATCTGGGGGCTCAAAGCTAGAAAGTGCAAGTGGGAATCTAAATGAGATGAAAATAAGTCGATCACATCATGCGAATGAGCATTTATCGATCCGGTAGTCTCGCTTACTTAGTGAACATACATTCATTTCCAGGGTATATGCACAAAATTCATTCCGATAAACAAGGCAGTTGGATATGTTTGAGGAAGAAAAAGACCAAAGTCACTGAAATCCAAAAGTGCATCGCCGGGCTAAGTAATCATACGAAACCGAGGAGAAGCGTCTCCGCATATCAACTATTTAACCCGAAAAGATCACATACAGGGCTGTAGATATCACATATTCCAAATAATCCAGAAGTTCGCTTTTTAAGATCATTCTGGCACAATCTGCGCCACTGGAATGAGAAGTTGATAGACTTATTTCTGGATAGTAAGAAGATGGAAATGGCAAGTGATTCCGGAAAATTCCTGGGAGATTCCCATTATGCACTTTCACTGTTACACCGTCAACCAATTGACCATCACATATCGTAATTTCAAAGAGGCCCAGACAGGTCAGGACCATATTTCCAATACGACTTTAAACCCAGTATACCATGTGTACTTAGCCCACCGCAACCGCGAGAGTTTTTGCGTTCAGCCATTCCTATGAAAGCCCCCGGGTCTCAGAAAACGTGTTACCTATTCTAAACCCCAATGATAATCTATGTTAATGGCGAAAAAAGTTGGCCGTCAAATCCTGGAACTCGAGTCAAAAAGTATTTACGGCTCAGTAATTTGTGAAGCCCCTGCCAGTATGACTCGGGTATGACTCGCATTGGTCAAGGAAACAGTTGGTTTACAGCCTTACAAGGTCCACGATAGATATCTAATTCGTGTGAATGCATAGATACCCTTGTCCGCATGATCGAGAGGTCACTTGATTTGTGGCTTTGCTGAGTATGCCAAAATCTAATATTCATGCTGGAGAGTGTATTGTCGATATGCCTTGTTTGTTGCAAGTGAAATCATTGGAAAGGTGTCAACCTTGGACTTTGCCGCGCAGCTCACATACCACAAACTGCTAGAGACTTGGAAATCTTGGTCTGTCAAAATTAGATGAGTAGATATGTATTGTCAGTGAAGGACTGCGCTGCTTCTTCAAGACTATTCTATTAATTTGTACAGTGAATATATATGGATGGCTCTAGGGAAATAGAATCTCCATGACAATGATTTCAGATGTTTGCCGCCCCGAGACTCGTCTCTATTGATGGCCTGCCTGTGAACCCAGTTTTACTTTCCTTCTACACAGTATTATGCGCAGTCCAATGGTTCCGTAGAACGATTTTTCATTATATCCAAATTTCGCAGAAACGAGAATTCCATGTACTGTAGAAGATTTGAAAAGATTACCAATATCTATCGTCCTAGAACTCTATACTTTATCAATCCCTGCTCAATTTCCTGCCCATATCTCTTGATGTTGCTGCTGATGCTGTTGCGCATACATAATTTGTTGATGCTGCTGTTGCTGGTAATGCAGCGAACTGGCATCACTTGCAGTCCTACTCCTCAACTCGCCTACTAAGGTTTGCTCTTCGTCTGTGAGACTGCGAATTGCGCTGTCTCTTTCATCGTGATTTGGCCACGGTGTTCGTGGCTCCATCTTGATATCGTAGTTTAGTTGCTCCGCATGTTTCGATAATGTATACTCCGTATTGTATGATCGATCGTCGGGAGGGAACATTTCGTTGAACTTTCTCTGGACGGCTTCTTTACTCCACTTTTCTTGAACTCCATGCTTCAACATGCCTTTTGCGACTGCTTCCCACTTTTCTCTCTCGTAATCTTCCCAAGCAAGTGTCAAAGCTCGCTCCTAAGCTTCGGTTAGCTTCTTCGTTGCTTGGATTAGTGACTGATCTGACCGAAATACATAATGAGCTAGGGATGTACCTCGCAATCAGTCCAAATGCGGAGACGTTCGCAAAGTCGCTTCTTGCGCATTTGCAGAGCTGGCACTTTCATACTCCTGCCTGTTCTCTCATTGAACTGTTTAGCAATCTCTTTCCAAGCGAGACCTTCAACATCTGATAGCTGCATCAGAATTTGTTCCTCGTGAGTGATATTCTCATGAATAAGAATATCTCCGTCCAAATGCGTGGGGGCGCCCTTTCTCTTCCTTCTATTGGGAAGAGGAGCAAGTTGTTGATCTTGGTATTGAGGTGGTGTCGAGTTATAGGAATTTATTGACGTAGATATGGAATGCATGGAATGCATAGAATCATGACGGCTATATGGTAGACTATCTCTATATGGCATATCTCCAGGTCTAGTCGCTGGTTGCATTGTATTGGGGTTAGGAGCAATCAGTATTGGTGCGGTATTGTTTACTCTATAGCCTTCAGGACTTTGAGCTGGTGTGGCATGGCGTGATCTTCGAAAGTCAGCGCTCATAGCACTTGAATTTGTATTGTGAGGACTGGCATTCATGTTTGGAGATGTTAATTCAGCTGTTCGTCCTGTTTTTGGCGTAGCGGAAACTCCAAATGCACCATAGTACGGGGAAGCACAGAAAAGAGCAGGAGAAGTAGGATAATTAGACTCGCTGGTAGGAATCCTGGAATTATTGGAACTTGGGTCTTTTTGCTTCATTGGGGCGGAAGTGAGTCTGGAACCAAAATCGTCTTCGCCCCCACCAAAGAGCGGATAATCTGGTGATTGCATGGATGGTGATAGCTTTATATCCCTTTCTCTCACTGTGGGTGCTGGCCTTGAAGAAATGTTTGGAGATGCCATTGTAACAGGCGTGATCAGAGATGAGTCGTAATGTGCTGGAAGATTAAATGACGAGACCTAAATTCTTGATTAGAGACTTCTAGTCACTAGTCATAATAGTATAAACGTACAGCACTGTAAGGAGTCCATGGAACATCTGAAGCTCTAGCGCTTGTGTGACTTGCGCTGTGAGGTACACCATGACCCCCGCCAAAGGCAGGCTCCCCCATGGTGGTCATCTTGAGACGAGGTAAGAGAGGTTTCTTGAAGATAGCTGGAGATGTAACAGCAAAAGAATCCTCAAAGAATGTAGGAGATGGAATAGGAGCTGGTAAAAAAGTTTAATAAATGGAGAGAGGATTTATGAGACCGACAGGAAGAGAGAGGATATCTTACCAGAATATATATCAAGCATTTGTAATTAGTATGGCGTGGTAAAATTATGTAGTCACAACGAAATCAATCTGCCTGACAATGTCGAGTCAATATAAGCCTTGGTAGCAAGTAAACAATCGATGACTTTTTTTATGCCAGTCAGGACCTATAAGTTTAAACAGAATGAGAGGCACAGCAAACTCAGCCCAGGTCACTTATTGGGCCGGGGACCAGGTGGCAGTGAGCAAGCAGGAGCAAGGTAGCGCCTTAACTAAACAGAGTGGGATATGCATGTTAGCAAGGGGGAAGGGGTAGCCGCCGGGATATGAGGGGAATGTACGGTACTTGGTAGCAAATATGATTTGAGCGCTGGGAGTCTTAGCCGACTAAGCTCTTTATTATTCAACTATCCTCATTTGGTATAGTGCCACTTCAAGCTTAAAAATTAAGAAGTATACGGTACCCCAGCGCGTGCGACGGCGGCTGGGCGTTGTCACACAACCTTGCCTATTACCAATGATGAATTTGGTTATCGCCTTCCTGGGCTTGCTGATATGGCTTAAGCAAGTAATTGCGGGCATTACACTTTAAGATTCAGAGCCTAAGGGTATATGCACTGGGCACTGTGCAGTGATAAATGGATCAATCTCAAGGGTCCGGACCGACGGCAGCTATTACGCGAGTTTTTTTATTTAATGAAAAAAAATCATTTAGGCCGGTGATTGTCGGATGCAAATAATGCCATTTTGTAATCGTATTCATTGAGAATCGTTTGTCAGGTCTTGCCCGTACCTCGGAGCTGATAGAATTCTGGGTCTTGATACAAAAAAAACATCTTGTGACACACGAATCGAGGACCATATTTTGTGGCCATCGGGCAGCCGAACAAACTACGCACACGGCCACTGGCAGGCTCACTTGTCCGCAAGAGTTTGAATTCTCCATAAAATCAGGCCAGCACAGCTTGTCTATAGAAAAAGTCACTTTGGAGCCTGCCGATTGACGGGGTACGTTTCATGCTTTGCTGAAATCTGGCAAGGAATGCTGGCTATTGTAACGTGATTGTGTCGAATGTAGCGGCGTGCTTGATCCCGAGGGCACGGTAACGGTTCCTCCCATGGTGGGGAATAAAAAGTACTCGGACGTTGAACAAATCAGAAGTTCAATAGAAGGAGAGCCTGTGAAGTATTTAGCCTGTAGAGCGGTTGGTGTGGGAATAACTTTAGTGAGATGTGGTGGGGAGGAGGAGTAGAGCCTTGTCAAGTTCATATGTTGATGGAGGATTATTCAAGCGAAGCGAACAATTATTCGAACCGCGCGCTTTTTGTGGACTTTTGTGGATTTGTGAATGTAGAAATCACAATTTTACGTTTTTGCATTAGCGTCACTAGGCAGTTGATAATATGATCTAACCTGATATCATATACTAATAGAGAATTTATGGAGCCACCATCCAATCACGTTCTTTTTCATGATCTCGAAGCGAATGTACTTTCTATCTAGCTTCCTCATATAATCTAGTGCTTACTCCGTAGATACAATAAACATCATTGATGCCCACTTCAGAAAAGATTGCATAATCTACACTTCGTTACACACGGTACAGAATACGTATATATACACACACATACGGGACACTACGGAATACGGCATCTTCAAAGAAAGCATGATGCTGGCTTTGAAGGAGGAATTGATGCATACGGAGTAAATGAATGAGTGAGTAATTCTTGATTAATCTAGGGCTGTCTTCCGAGATCCCCTCATCTCGACAGCCCTTCTTGCTCCTCTAAACCCTGTTTTCTCATTCATCCCTCTAGACATCCTAGTAACCGAACTCGGGACTCAACCATAATTTCTCTTTTTGTGATTGGCATTGCATTAGCTGTCTGAAATTGAATTTACTCTCAATCCACAATGTACTCATTTGCAAGAACGAACATCCACACAGCCTATCTACTAGCGAGGATAAATCTCAGCTCCAAGGCACTAATCCGCGATTAACGACTTAGACAT